CCTCACCCCCCCACATCATCCCCCCCGTCACCCCCCCGTGTCACCCAGCCGCCCCGCCCCCCAGGTGTGTAAGTACGACTTTGTGGAGGTGCGCAGCGGGCTGACGGCCGACTCCAAGCTGCACGGGAAGTTCTGCGGCGCGGCGCGGCCGGCCGTCATCACGTCGCAGTACAACAACATGCGCATCGAGTTCAAGTCCGACAACACCGTGTCCAAGAAGGGCTTCAAGGCGCACTTCTTCTCAGGTACGGCCCTGCTCTGCAGCCCTGCAGCCCTGCAGCCACAGCCCTGCACCCCTGCACCCCTGCATCTCTGCAGCCCTGCATCCCTGCATCCATAGCCCTGCAGCCACAGCCCTGCATCCCTGCATCCACACAGCCCTGCAGCCACAGCCCTGCATCCACAGCCCTGCATCCACACAGCCCTGCAGCCCTGCAGCCACAGCCCTGCAGCCACAGCCCTGCAGCCCTGCATCCACACAGCCCTGCAGCCACAGCCCTGCAGCCACAGCCCTGTAGCCCTGCATCCACATCCCTGCATCTCTGCAGCCCTGCATCCACAGCCCTGCAGCCACAGCCCTGCAGCCCTGCATCCACACAGCCCTGCATCCACACAGCCCTGCAGCCCTGCATCCACAGCCCTGCAGCCCTGCAGCCACAGCCCTGCATCCACAGCCCTGCATCTCTGCAGCCCCACATCCACATCCCTGCATCCCTGCATCTCTGCAGCCCTGCATCCACACAGCCCTGCAGCCCTGCATCCACACAGCCCTGCATCCACACAGCCCTGCATCTCTGCAGCCCCACATCCACATCTCTGCATCCCTGCATCTCTGCAGCCCTGTGGCCCTGCACCCACATCCCTGCATCTTTGTATCCCTGTAGCCCTGCATCTCTGCATCCACACAGCCCTGCAGCCCTGCATCTCTGTATCCCTGCAGCCCTCCATCCCTGCACCCACACATCTCTGCAGCCCTGCATCCCTGCATCTCTGCATCCCTGCATCCTCATCCCTGCATCTTTGTGTCCCTGCAGCCCTGCACCCACACATCCCTGCAGCTCTGCATCCCTGCAGCTCTGCAGCTCTGCAGCCACACAGCCCTGCATCCCTGCATCCACACATCTCTGCATCCCTGCATCTCTGCAGCCCTGCATCCACATCCCTGCATCTTTGTATCCACAAAACCCTGCATCCACAAAGCCCTGCAGCCCTGCACCCACACATCTCTGCAGCCCTGCAGCCCTGCAGCCCTGCATCCACATCCCTGCAGCCCTGCATCCACACCCCTGCATCTCTGCAGCATTCCGTCCCTGCACCCCCCCAGCAACGCATCCTTGCATCCCTGCAGCAACTTCTGCTGCTGCTGCTGCACTGGGGCTGCGTGCATTTGGGATGGGGGAGGGGAGGGGAGGCGGGGTTGGGTTTTGCATCGCTGCCACTGCTGTGTTGTTGCTGCATTGCTGCTGAGTGCTGCATTGCTGCTGAGCGATGCATTGCTGCTGGGCGCTGCATTGCTGCTGGGCGCTGCACTTCTCCTCTGCTGCTGCACCTTCTGTGCTCCCCCCCACCTCACTGTCTGTCCCATCCCCCTCCCCTGGGCTCACCCCATAGGGTTGTAGGGTCGCCCCATAAGGTTGTAGGGTCGCCCCACGCCATGGGGGGGGCAATGTGGGGGTCGGGAGATGCGGAGCAGAGGCAGCAACGCAGCAGCACGCCGCAGGTTTGGGGTTTAGGGTCCCCCCCCCCTTTTTGGGTTGAACCCCGCGCCGCGTTCTGGGCCCCCCCCACCCCCAGTGGGGGCTGCGGGTTTGGGGTTGTTGCTGTGTTTTGGGTGCACCCCCCCCTCCCACGGAGAGGCAGTGGGACGCAGCGCCCTGCAGGAGGGGACGCGCTGGGAGCGGCAGAGGGACGCGGGGCTGCAGGGTGAGTGCGCCTGGGGGTCCCCAAAACGCAACGGGGGGGGGGTCCCCAACCCACCGGGAGCTGTGGGGCCGGGAATGCGCCCCTCCCGGGGTGCCGGGGGGTGGGGCACCGAGGGGCACCCCGCTGTTATCCCCCGCTTTGGGGTTGGGCACCATAAGGTAGCCGTGGGGTCAGCCCTCGGTTTGGGGTCGGATGCCACGGGGCGGCAGTGGGACCACCCCCCAATTTGGGGGGCAGACACCATAGGGAGCCCATAGGGCCACCCCCCAATTTGGGGGGCAGACACCATAGGGTGCCCATAGGGCCACCCCCCAGCTTGGGATGGGGCAACATAGGGCACCCATGGGGTCAGCCCCAGATTGGGGTCAGGCACTATGGGGTATCCCTTTGGGCAGCCCCCACTTTGGGTTTGGGCACCATGGGGAATCCGTAGGGTCACCCCTCGATTTGGGGTCAGACACCATAGGGTGCCCATAGGACCACCCCCCAATTTTGGGGTCAGACACCATAGGGAGCCCATAGGACCACCATCCAGTTTTGGGGTCAGACACCATAGGGTGCCCATTGGACCTCCCCCAGTTTTGGGGTCGGACACCATAGGGAGCCCATAGGATCAGCCCCCAATTTTGGGGTCAGACACCACAGGGTGCCCACGGGGTCCCCCCCACCGCTGTGGTTGGGTGCTGTATGGTGTCCTTTGGGTCCCCCCACTCGTGGGGTCGGATGCTACGGGGTCCCCGTGGGGTCAGCCCCCAATTTGGGGTCAGACACCATTGGACCCTTTTGCTGCAGCTGCCCCCCCCCCCCATCACATCCCCACCCCACAGCAGTGCTGTGATGGGGTTCGGTGCAGGGCTGCAAGGAGGGTGGGGGTCCCGGGGGGTGGGGGGGGGAGGTGGTGTGGGGGGGTTGGGGTCCCTGGGAAGCTCGGGGTGCCGCCCGCACCTTATGGCTGAGGAGGGGTCCC